TCTCTCTCTCTCTCTCTCTCTCTCTCTCTCTCTCTCTCTCTCTCTCGTGTGTGTGTGTGTGTGTGTGTGTGTGTGTGTGTGTGTGTGTGACTAGGATTGAACCAAGGATCTCGGGATGTTAGACAAGTGCTCTACTATTGAGCTATATCCTTAGCCCATTCATACTATACCTACAGCCTATTGTATCATTTTCATAACCTCAATGCAGATTAATAAATCTTAATTTAAGGATACAACTGAACATTAAATAAATGAAGTAAGAATTAAGTTCTCATGTGCAGATGTTTAGGTCTGTGGGTTTGGGGGCAGAGGTCTTTGGTGTTATATTTCTTAGCTAGTGATTTTAGAAGGAAAAGACCAGTGTGGAAGATACTTCCTAGTTGCTCGTGACTTCGTGACCTCTTCCATGGTCTCTTAGCTCTAGCCACATGGTGACTGTACTTAACACTCCTCTATGCTGGACTCCTGCACTTGAGGATGTTTTTCCCAGCTTGCCCTGTCTCCAGGATTTTGTAGGGTGAGTTCTTTCTACAGTTCATGTTCGTCCCAGATGTGGCTGTCTCTGAGAGTCTTCCTCGGACTGCCCACAGCCTCAGTTAGCCCCTTTCTCTTTCCAGTGTCTCTTCCTACTTTCTCAAACAAGCTTGAGCACTGGAGTGACTTGTGTGCCTTCTCACTGCACCCTTCCGGCTTCTCTGTCCCTCCTGTCAGTGCCATAAGAGCAGAGATTTTGTCTCACTCTCTTCACTCACGCTGTTCAGCGAGGTAACAGTAAAAGAATATAAATGGCTTGTTTGCATTTGTGATTCTATAACCTCACAAGGCTGGTGGATATTTCTGTAAGCTACAAGATGGTTCATAGATTGTTTCTAGTTTCTGGCCTAACGTGAGAGATCTGACCTCATCTTTGTCTGCCAAGAGAAATGGTCTTTCCAGAGCTAATGCCTGGAACCTCTGCAGTGGGAACCAGGTGACAAGGTATGGACAAATTTTCATGACACCGAGGGCATAATGAGGAGAAAGAAATAAAGATGTCCTAACAGTCCCCAGCATCCTGCCCACACCACTCTTTTGAAATGTGCTTCTCTCCCCACCAACTGAACCCTGACTGGTCAGACTAGGAAAGATGCCTTCACCCAAACTTTCTGACCTCATTCCCATCTAGAATGGGACGACTTTATTCTCAATATTTTTGGTTCTATAGACTATAGTCAGCTGTTACAGCACAAAAGCCTGTGCAATGATCTGCCCAGGACTGGCTGGTAGAATGACATTTTCCCAAACCCTGGACTAGGATCAGAGCCTCTCACTGGATGGGTCCTATTATGGCTGAGCACCAGCCTGCTGTATGTGTCAGGCTATCACAAAAACTTTATAATTTCTGAATTAGAGAAGCATGATTCTGGAGGGGGAAATTACATTAGGAGAGAAAGAACCCACGAGGGTCGCAGTAAAACACAATTTATAATTTTAGTACCTGGAGATACTTTGAACTGAGTTCATCTATACATGGCTCTGGTCAAAGAAAGTTTGACTCAAATGGGCACCTACTGTTGGTATTGGTATTTCTGTGGAAGTGGGCATCTACTTTTGTTGTTGTCTATGGAGGTGGTCATCTTCTGTGAAGGGGACATCTCCTATTGATATTGGCATCTTCTATTAATTATATGCAGAATTGGTATGGCAAATGTTCCTTGACTGCTCTCATGTTGTAAAAGAAACTGGTCAACCGGAATGGGTGAGTGGCAAAACAATTGATGGGTACAGTCCAATGTACATAGGAACAGTCCAGTGTGCATAGGGACAGTCTAGTGTGTATGGGGATAGTGTAATGTGTATGGGGACAGTCCACTGTACATAGATACAGTTCAGTGGTCATGGAAACAGTCCAGTGTGCATGGGGACAGTCCAGTGTTCATGGGGACAGTCCAGTGTTCATGGGGACAGTCCAGTGTACATAGGAACAGTCCAGTGTGCATGAGGACAGTCCAGTGTGCATAGGGACAGCCCAGTGTGCATGGGGACATTCCAGTATGCATGGGGACAGTCTAGTGTGCATGAGGGCAATCCAGTGGGCATATAGACAGTACAGTGTGGATAGGGGACAGTCCAGTGTGCATAGAGACAGTCCAGTGTGCATAGGGGACAGTTCACTGTGCATAGGTATCTAGCCCTTGGGTCCAAGCTGTCCATGGGTACAGCTGGACAGAAGGACAGTAGCTCCAGGCAGAGATGGAACCACATGCAAGCTGTAGTTTCATCAGACACTTGGACCAGGTAGCACATCTACAACACCTTTTTCTATCACTAGCATTTCTGTCATTAGAAGTCCATTTCTACAGGTTAAGAACCACTATCCTCTTTTAACTAACTTCTCTGTATTTGGGATGACTTTCAGCCATGGAATATTTACAAAATTCTATCATGGTTGGTTGTATCAGTTCCTTCATACCACAGTCAGATGGGAGATACCACAAGGCAGAAAGTAAAGTTGAGGAAAAGATTGTGGAGAAACACAGTCTAGGGAGAAAAGACCCTCAAATGAGAAGGAAGTGTGGCCTGTCTTAATTCTGACTAAGGTTACCTTGACCATAAAAAGCCATTTTTCAAAATGTGAACGTAAAAAACCTTTTTCTTGTGGCTGCTAGGCACTCAGTATTAAATTCGCAGCCTACCTCAGTCTTTCTATTTCCGATCTTATTTTTCCTCAAATACTTGTTTTTGAGCTTCGTATGCTGTATAACCACACTCAAGTTCTGTATAATGCGAGCCACCTACACAGATATTTTGGTCAGCTGTTAACTCAGCCATGTGACTCATGTATCTGATAGCTGCCAGACAGTAACCTTAGATGGCACGACTCATTGGGCTTCTGTGGAGTTGTAAAGTGATTTTTTTAAAATAATAATTTTTTGTTTACTTTCTTATCATGCCCTGTTGGTGGTTCTGAGTAAGGAGAAGGAAGAAGGGGTGGGGCAGAGAGCCACAAACCTGTGCGAGGTGATAGTTGCTCCTGAAGGTCTTAGGGGTGGGTGCCAGTAGGTTGGGGCCTGCAGTGGCAAACTTTAAAGCCGTGACAAGGACAGCAAGGCCAGAAGCAGGTAGCACCTTCATCTCCTCTCGGTCGCTTGCTGTTTGTATCAGCCCAGGGATGGCAGACAGTGCACATTTGCACCTGAACTCCGGGCTCCTTTTATAGAGTCACATAGGTCTGGGCCATGTAAGTGATGATTCATGTCTCAAATGGTAATTACACAGCTTGTTACACCCCTGATGACGGGGTAACAGCCGTGCACAGGGATCAGGGAAAGCTTCATTCTTTGTGATTGACCAAATCATAAAGGGAGAGAAATGGTTACTTTTTACGATACTTGTTAGCTATGTACAGGAACTGGTGTGAGCTTGATTTATCTGAATCCCATCCGCTTGGGATTTGAAAGTCCTCCTTTCAAGACCCTCTTTTCCATTCTGACTACAGAAAAAGGAGGGGCTGGTGAGGTAGCTCAGTGAGTCTCTATTGAGTCTTTATTTGTACCTCCAGGCAAGCCTGATGACCTGGGTTCACTTCCCTGGACCCACATGGTGGAAGGAGAGAAATGACATTTACAAGTTGCCCTCTGAATTCTATATGCATGTCATGGCACCTTCTGCATCCTGCTGTAAGAGGACAAATGCATGAATGAATAGGTCTACTTTAAAACAAGAAAAAAGTTAAATGATTGAATGTAGTTGGATTATAGTACAATTGAGCTGTCTACACTTTCAAGTCAATCTTCAGCATCCTGTATCTGCATTTCCCTCTACATTTCTTAGGAAACGGGTGGTGGTGGTGGTGGTGGTGGTGCTGCTGCTGCTGCTGTTACTGCTGCTGGTGGTGATTCTAAGACACACAAGACAACTTTACATAATCTCATGCTGATGAGGCTGGAGAGTGATCCTGTAACTGCCAGAAGGTTTTTCAGTGAGATAACACTAGAGCTGTCTGTTAACCAGAACATTAGGTAAAACTTGCCATTTTAAGTGCATTCTGGTTAGTTCAGAGTCATATCTGTGTGTGTATTCATGTGTGTAGGTACAAATGCACATGTGTGTAGAACCAAAGGACTTTTATTTTGAGACAAGGCTTGTCACTGGCATGGGGCTTGCAAATAAGCTAGGGTGGCCTCATTCTCAGCACCAGGGTTGTAAGGGCATGCCACCATACTTGTTTTGAAGGGTTAAAAGTATTTTATTCAGAGGCTTGGGTAAGGACTGAAGAGGCAAACATGATCATTGAGGCCTCCCTGCTGTTAAGAGCCATGCCTGGCTTTTTAACATAGATTCTGTGTGTGGAACCCAGGTCCTCATGCTTGCTGACAAGAGTATCACTAACTGAGCCATCTCCTTAGCCCCTGACCTTATAGTCTTTAATGTGGAGAAAGGTGACCAGGCCAGAAAGACTGGGGTTAAATTGTAAGGTGTTTCCTAGTAGGGTGAGATTGGACAAATTATTTCATGTCTAGGAGCATTAGACAGACTCTTTCTCATGTGCAAACTCTTTAGCATTACAGGGCAGTACTGGCTACAGGACAGTGTCTACTAGTGCCATCTGATAGCTCAAACAGAAGAGAAGCAAGTGTAACAGATGTCCACCACGTTCCTCACTTTTAACATGATTTCAGGTGTCAGTCACTTAGAAAAGAAGCTTTTCCCGAGTGCCCACCGAGGGGCTGCAGCAGCTCTGGCCTCAGCTCTCCAAAACCAATGCGTTTTGCAGCCAGGCTGCTCATATAGATCCCTCCTTTTTCTTTTTCTCCTAACAAAACCTTCCTACCCCTCTTTGGGTGTAGCACACTCTGTGGCTTGCCCCAGCATGCACCCTGGATTGTAACCCTTTGCTCATCCCTGCATGAATTCTATGTACTTATAGATGGTTTTCACTCAGGGCTTTATTTATTTCTTTAAAAATATTTTATTTATGATTTTTATTTTATTAAGCTTTGGCAGTTCAAGTCCTAATTTTGACTCCTGTGCATATGATCTACGAGGTTGATTCATCTCTTTTGGCTGTGATATTTTTATCTTTAAAATAGAGGAAAGATGCCAACTTACAAAGCATGGGGCAAATGATGACACTAGAGATTTTAGCACAGTGCAGGGGAGGTGTTAGTGCATCTGAAGTCGGCTCTGCGGCTCTTTCTCTCGGTGCCTGGAAGCTGATTGGCATTTAGTAAACGAGCTGGTGAGAGAGTAGATGGAACACTAGGTCTCAGACTCTCAAGGTGTGGTTTCTGGACCCACAGGCCACTATTGCCGTGCAGGAAATGCGACCTTTCAGACACCACAGAGTGGCACCGAGTCTGAAATTTTGGAGATGAGACCTGTTGGACTGAGCCATAATTTTAAAAAAGTTTTTAATGAAAAATTAAACTCTTATTAAACACTTTCTTAAAATGTCTCACACAAATATAATGTATTTAGATTAAATCCACTCTTTTCTGATTCAACCCCTTGCAGTGGATCCCCTCCCCCCACTTTCCTGACAGCTTCATGACTTCTATGCTCTTGTTTCCATAACTCACTGAGTGCAGTAGGTGCTGTCTATCTGCATGTGGATGTTGTTTGTGTATGTGTGTGCATGTGTGTATGCATGTGTGTATGTATGATCACGTATGTGTACATGCATGTGTGTATGTGTGTGCATGTGTGTATGTGCATGTATGTATGCATGTTTGTGTATGTGTGTGCATGTGTGTGTATGTATGTATGCATGTTTGTGTATGTGTGTGCATGTGTGTGTATGTGCATGTATGTATGCATGTTTGTGTATGTGTGTGCATGTGTGTGTATGTGCATGTATATATGCATGTTTGTGTGTGTGTGTGCATGTGTGTGTATGTGCATGTATGTATGCATGTTTGTGTATGTGTGTACACATGTGTATGCATGTGTGTATATGTGTGTATCATGTATGTGTATATGTGTATGCATGTGTGTATATGTGTGCATGATGCATGTGCATGTGTGTATGCATGTGTGTATGTATGTATGCATGTGTGTATATGTGTGTGTGCATGTGTATGTGTATACATATGTATATGATGCATGTGTGTGTGTTTTCAGTGGAGAAGAGCCATGTGTCTCTGTGGCGTTCAGAGAACAACTTGAAGGAATCAGTGGTCTCTCTTTCCATCATGTGAGTCCCAGGGATCCAACTCAGGTCATCAGGCTTAGCTTAGCAGCCAGCTCCCTTACCAACTGAATCTCCCAGCCCACCTCATTCTAAGTCCTAAAGCTCTTCAGGCAGTGCTGATTCATGCTAACATTGGAGGATTATTAACCTGACTAAGATGATAAAAATATGAAAAATATCAAGAATATGCCAGTTTTCTGTTACATCTATCGTTTGAAATTCATCTGTGAAGTCTGTTGTAAGGAACTTATCACTGATACCTCTTAAAGCCTCACATTTAGACAAATTCAAGGTTACACTCACTGTGATCTCTCTCTCCTGATGCCTTTGCTGAGTGGAAGAGAGACCATGGGAACTAAACCTGTAGGGTCTAGGGAACAGCTGAAGTTTGTTAAATATAGACATCATATTAATTGTATATTCTGGGATAAGTGAATCACATCTCAAAAGAAAAAAAAAAGAAAGAAAACAGATAGACTGGCCTCATTCAGCTAACTAAATTGCAAGCGTCTTGATTGTTTGATAGTGAAAACCACCTGCATTTGTCTAATGAATAAATGAATATACAGATTAATTATTACTTTTGGTTTCAGGAAGGTAAAAGACATTACAACAATCAGTTAAAAAAGTATAAGCCTTTGTGGCCCCCACAGCCTCCCGTAGCAGCTGCTAGATATGATGAACAAACAGGCAGTCTTGACACTTCCTTACGGTGGCGCATGTTACCCTTTTATTTCCTCCCCTAGATATGTTCTACCACTTCATCCTAATGATACCAACACAAAGGAACATGGAGAGGCCAGGTGTCTTAGCTTTTCTGTCACCGTCAAAAACTGCTGACTGCAATCTATTTAGGAGAGGAAAGGATTTGTTTAGGCCATCATCCAGGAAGCTAAAGCAGGGACTCTGAGACAAGAAATGAAACAGAGACTATAGATGATGGCTGTTTAGGGCTTGCTCTTCATGGCCTCAGATTTCTTGCTTATACACCCTTGTGCTTCAGGGCTGAGCTATACAAAGCGGACTGACTGACATCAGTCAGCAGCATCGGGGTGAGGGTGGCAGGGTCCCACACTTAACACTTCTTCCATATTCTTCTTTAGTAAATGCATACTTTTAAAAGATTGTGAGTTTTTGAGATGGAAGGAGTGAGTGCCCCACATTAGTATCTATATAAACAGAATACATTTGCAATGAACTCCGTGAGACTGTTGGTCCTTTACCCTCCATGGCTTCCTGTATTTTATTCAACAACACCAGATTCAGTGCCAGAGGTGTGGGACTATAGAAATCCTGGGTGTTTGGCCATGCCCCCAGAACCCAGAGACCTAACATGCGGTCTCCATGTAACATGCAGTGGGTCATGTAAGGCACAGGTAGAGGTCGGAGAAAGAGGTCTCTGTCTCAAGATTTACATATTACCTAAAGGCCCTAGCTCAGCCCCTCTCCCGCTTCCAATATAAGGAAGCCCCTCCTGACATTTTGTGGGAGAGCACGCAACTATCAACATGACCAATAAAATTTCCATGTCTTCAAGTCCACGTGTCTCCTGGGACTCTGAACTCTCTTTGTGTAAGTGGGAAAGTCGCGGGGGTGGGGGTGGGGGTGGGGGGAAGGGGGAAGGGGGAAGGGGGAAGGGGGAGGGGGAAGGAGGGAGGAGGAGCCTTCCCGCCCTCCCTGCGCTCCCTGCTGCAGCCTTGGGGGGGGCACTCTCCCTGCTCCAGCGGTCCCTCTCTGCTCGCTCCCTGCTCCAGTGGCCAACAGAGCTTTTCCCTACAACACCGCGGAGGCTGGCACGGTGGTTCCCGGCTCTTCCTGTCCCAGCCATCCGCGAGACTCTCTCTCCTCTGCAACCCCGGTTCCGGGACAGAGTCAGCCGAGGGGCTTGGGCATGCCCTGACCCACGCGATGGAGAGATCAGCTGGGACCGCTGCTGTAGCGCGTGGGAGGCCTGAGCCGG